AGCATTCGGCAGCCATGTTGTTTGCCTACAACATCGTCTGTCTCAATCTTACAGTGTCGAAAATATCATTTTTCTCAACGTATGGTGTTTATTAGCGTTCAAACGGACCAGACCACCCTGTGGTGAAGTCTACCCGTGGGTGCTATACCTGCGAAAATTTCATTTGTGCAATTCTCGAGACGAAAAACGAAATTTACGAAATCGAGTGTCTCTCTCACGCATGGCGTATACGTGCATGCTTTCCGTTGATTGTGTAAAACATGTGTACGGACGCAGAATCGACACCTCGCTTGGATAAATGCAACATTAAATGCCCAGAATCGACACCTCGCTTCGATAAATGCAATATTAAATGCCCAGAATCGCCACCTTGCCTGGATAAATGAAACCTTTGAAACCAGAGCCGACACCGCGACTGGTTTTGATTTCGATCTCTGTTGCAAGTAATTATAATTCAAACTATATCGTGTTTGGTATCATTTTAATAAGAAAAATGTCACCAATCCGCTGGTAAAAGTTTCATTAAAAAAAAGTCAAAAATAAAAAAGTTTTATAGTTGAATTACTATTAGTCACACCGATACGTTTCGGCTCTTTCCTTTCATAATCGGACCTCTCTCTTTCCGCCACTGTCTGTCCCTTTCTACGTTCACGCTTGGCTGGTCGTCGCGTGTAACCCGAGATTCGACACCTTGCTTGGATAAATGCAACCACGGGGTCCCAATCTTGGTTGCATTTATCCAGGTTTTACTGTATGTAACTGACCTTGTACTTGGTAGAAATACTGGTGCTTGCTATTCATTTCTTGTATATCTCTCTTATCAGGACCAGAAAACTTAATTAAAAAATTTAAATTGTTAATATATTATTTAAATAAATGACTGTTAATTAACACACAGTTTAGGGAAAGAAGAGCTCATACTTTTCTGAAAGCTGTTTCTGGTACGAGAAACGTGGCGGGTCGGCGCTACGTATTCCCCTGTAGGTCGGTTAGGTTGAGCGCCTCTAACGTTCAGGCCGGCTTTGCCTTATGAAAGGGCGTTGCATTGGTTTTATTTTTTTTAACTATGATGTACCAATCCAACACTCTTGAAATTTTTACAGATAATAGTTAAATAGTAAAGGATTATTCTTAATTTTTTCGGTGGGTGTCATCCAAGGGATTGTTTATAAAAATCATTTTCAAAGATTTATTTATTAATTTTCAACCCTTAATCATCGAATAAAAATTTTGAAAAAAAAATATGATATACAGCTAATGAATACCTACTATTTGCACTTTAATGTGATCAAATATCTTTAATAGTTTCCGAGAAAGAAAATGGTAAAGGTTTTGGGTTTTACCCTCATATCTCCCTTATCAGAGGGTATAGGGGGTTGAAATTGCACAGAATTGTTGTTTAGGCAAAAAGCATTATAAATATATAAATATCAACCGAAATTGTTGCTGGGGCCGATTCACTATACTTATACGGCTAGACCCTTTTCGGCAGATAGTGGGCATTTCAGTTCCAGTAAACCGTCATCATCGATAAGTCCATCAGGAGACGCACCCAAGTATGGAATATCGCAATCAATGAACAATCCACAAGTTCGAATCCTTGTTTTCATTGCGTTCGCTACGTCTTTTCTTGCAATGTGTTCTTTATCGCGGCCATATTTCATAGCAGCGGTATCGACAGATGGAGGATATAAAATGTTTTTTACCATTGTTGCGCAGGACGTTGTTTGTCTCATGCGACACACTGCTCCAAAATTCGAAGCAGTTAGCATTTCCTCCTTTAAAGCTCTCCATAAATCTGAATCGTTTTGCTTTCTTGTGTTCGTTTCTATTATTGTACGATTTTTTGCATTGTCAGCAATCTTTTCAAAATGTTCCTTGCGAAGCTGAAGCAGCATATCACTCGGAAGATCTGGTCTTTGCGAGTTTGGACCATAATATTTATCCGTTCTTTGCATTGGCTTAAATTTCCTTCTCTTGCCGTAGGTCATTCGAAATTCTTTCGTTTTCGCAACTTTTTTCTGTCGCCGTTCCTCCAATCTCTTTACTAGTGTTGGAACGGTTTTACACATGTTCTTATGCATTTCTGTAAGTACTTGTTGCGTATTGTATTGCGTAACAGCTCCTGCAACTCTAGCATTGTAGGAACCTCTTGCACCAAAATTAATACGTTTTCCACCAATCTCTTTGCAGATAATTGAATTAAATGTTTCTGCGGAATTATTTGTAACATTCATTAACAAACTATCCGAATAGCAGCTGAGGAATCGTATGGCTTTCTCGACTTCGCTGTACAGATCGTGTAATTTCAAAGAGGGAACGTAATTTTTCTCAGCTCTGTTTTCGTCTCGCATACACATATGGCTGCGGTTATTGCACTCCTTGTGCTCACCAAATATATGGCTAGGAATACTTAAAATGTCCTTCTGAAGTTCTGTAGCTTTGATATGCTGAGGCCCTTTTTCTTGTTTTCGCGCCTTGACTGTTAAAACGACAGTTCTACGAATATTTAAAATATTTTTTTTAATGATATTTCGGTGCGCAACAAAGCCACGATCTCTGTGACCCTTCGTTTGCGTTTTCTCCGCAACGTGTCTCAACTTTTTACATAAATTACGAAGTAAGTGATTGGTACACTCTACTTTTCTAACGGTTACTTTTTGTTCTCGGTAAGGTCTGTTATTCACAATAGTATGATAGATGTTACTATCACCATCGGCAACAACCGTTCTATATATCAAGCCATGCATGTCAATGCTCCAATTGAAACCTTCAGCAATAGCATCACTTTCCGTGCTACTAGAACTGGCATAACGATCATAGTTTTTATAACATTTATGATGTTTTGGGGATTTAGCTTTTCGTTCCGCTGTATCACATATTGTGCAGTATTTATTTCGTATGCCGATAAACAGAACTTTTTCTGTGCGGAAACCTACAATGGCACCAACACCGGAAACTGAATTATAATTCCTACCATACGATCTCTTTATCTAGCTACCATCCGCTATGACAGTTATGTACGGGATATCGTCGATGGCTTCATTATTTTCAGAAGCTAATCGCCTTTCTTCTTCACCTGCTGCCTGCATGGTATGCATTGCGCTTTTCATAAATTCATCGACAAGTTTTTCACGGTACTTGCGGTACATCGTTTCAGCCATGCAGGGCATGTTCAGGATGGCACATAATTCTTTTAATTGTGCATAGCCGATTCCGACTGTAACAGTCGCGGTCGTCATGGCCTCATTTACATTCATTATATCTGAATACATAGGTTCCGACCAAACAGTATCTTCGTAATTGCACATTTGGCACTTGATGAAAAACTGTGTAAAACACCCATGCTGGCGACTACCGATCATTTTCCAATCGCGAAAATGACATTCAATACCTCGCGCATGATTGTCGAACGTTCGATGTATTTCATTCCAAAAGAACTGAACGTCAACAATGCGGCGGCCTTTTGGCACATTTTCCGAAATACGTCCCACATCTACGTGTCCGACGCCTACGACGAGATTGTCGTCGCTATTGACCAGGACGTTTTGTACAGTGGGTCTCTTACTTGTACATTCGCATTGTACAACGACAGTTTCATCGTTTTTGCGAAGGGCGTTTTCTGATGAGATGCGTCCCACATCGTTATTTTCGCGAAGGGCATTTTCTGATAAGATGCGTCCCACATCGTTATTTTCGCGAAGGGCGTTTTCTGATAAGATGCGTCCCACATCGTTATTTTCGCAAAGGGCGTTTTCTGATAAGATGCGTCCCACATCGTTAACATTATTTGGGAAAAATAAAGGATTTTTATCAGACATATCTGTCTGACTATCCTCCTTTACAGTTTTCCCAAAAGATTTTAGTGGTACATAAAATTTTTCTTCGAAAACTGCAGCGGCTTCAATCGTCATTGTCGACGATTGCCGTTGTTTCTGTCGCCTGCAAGGTAGAACGCATAAAATTATAAATATTTATAGGATAATTCATACAAATTACTGAAATGTATAAATCTGAAACACTTACAGTTTTCTATAACCACTTTTCAGGGAAAGTTTTCTCCCTACCAGCAATCCTTTACGACTGCTACCTTTTCTATTTCCCATTTGTGTTTATTTTTTTCACAAATGCTTGGAAATTTTCTCAATAATATGTCTTCTACGTTACCATGAAGACGTCTTATTGTTAGAAACAATTAGATGACAACGCGGGCCATGGCAACGCGCTTCGTACGTGTGAAACAAAAACGAAACGCCAACGCTGTCGCGTTTTCTAATTTCACTGGCATCGACAGTTCAACGAATGCTACGAACGGGAGAGGACACAAGAATACAAGATCCAAGATGGATAAAAGCGGCAGTAAGTGTTTCTTTTTATCTTTACTTCGCGGGTGTCATTGATGTCTTTCGTAGATTCAAATGAGTTATGTGCATGCTTAAAATTTCATCGAGATCGGTCAATGCATTTAGAAGTTAGAAGTAATTAAAGTTTCAGATAATCGCCTAAGAACAGAAGTAGTTACGTTTTTAGATTAAAAGCCACGATTTTCAGAAATTAATTACTTGTAACTTCTTAGTGCATTGACCGATCTCGATGAAATGTTCAGCATACACATAACATATTCTTTATAGTAGAACAGCAAAAATACCTTGATAACGTGACCTCTCCGATTTGGCCGGTCGGTATTACAGCAGATTTTTCTGCACAGAAATGGTAATACCCATAGATATAGGGCTGGCCGATGAAAACGAGAGGGCGCTTTTTGCTAATTCTGTATTCTATTCTGAATGTAAAATAGTCAGCTGTTGCATTGTACTTGACAAAATTTAAACGCAAAGACTGGTTGATATTATAAGCGTAGAAAATTCAATGTACTTTTAATTAATTAAAATGTGTTTATGCTACAATATATTACGTTGCCATGAGGAACTATAAGTGAAAAGGAAAAATAAATGAGGGGAAATCCCAGAAAAATAAAGTTTCTTAGCTTCCACATTTTTTTATATAAAATTACTAAACGGACAATATAAAAATACTAAACGGTTAGGTTAGGGTTAGGTTAGTTCATAAATAGCGAATTATCAGTATGGAAGGATAATGACCAAAAGATTCTGACCCTTCATATCAAAAAGCGATTAAAACACTGATCAGTGAAGTACAAGCCTTTCTTTATTAACAAAGTACTACAGCAGAATATGAACGCTCTACACTTATACACTTAACGTCCTATGCAGAAAGCAATTATTGAATAAGCATTATGTATAAAATTAGGTTGACACGATACAGGATCTCTTGAACTATCATGCTGTACACCCTGGTTAGATCTGTAAAAATAAATAAGTTTAATAACAATTACTTTTTGAGTTTATACTACTTTAATGTAAACACTGATACCTACACCGCTCGATGAATCCACTATTAGTTTTCTATTTCTCACCAATATTTCTTGCAATGGTGACCCCTTTCGATTACAGTAAATTGTGATAGAAGCTAAGATAAAAAGCTAGAATGAGTTCTAATCAATTTGCATGCAGTAAAGATGTAAATGTATGTGATTTACTTATCTTTATGCTTGCATGGTGAAGACCTGCTTCCTTTCCTACTTTCGTCGAGCAGCATTTTCACCATTGATATTGGTCACTGGAAATAATTAAAACAAATTCATATATGAAATTCATGATGATTTCCAATTAATCCAACTACTTGTATACCAAAAGTATAAGTGTCGTACTTACGCTATCGTACATTGTACTCCTCCCGTGCAAAGTAAGGAAAAGTAGTTGCAAGTATAAATTATTAGGAGAGTGTAAAGAGACCCACTACCACCACCCCCGTCATAGACGGTCCTCTTCACTCTCCCTATTTATCTTTTATATACCTTCGTATTTACATTTTGGAACAGTATTCGACAGCTCTTCATATCCGCTGCACACACGCCGGTGTATTGGTATTGCATGGTGTACTTTACTGTGTACTCGTACATGGTCCTCCTGTCTTTATGTACGGAGGTTCTCTAATCGGTTGGTGTCGATTGAATCTACTATCTATGATTTCTGGCAACATGCAGTCCTCATAAAACTTCCTCAGTTTTTCCTCCATCTCTGTTGCCCAGAATGTATCATTTCTTGGTACTTTTATAATTTTCATTCCTTTCGGCATCCATAAACAGAATAGAGCGCATTGTCTATTCGTTAAGTGCAACTGTCCTTGCACTTGATAATAGTAGTGATGAATTTTATTCATTTCATCACCCCGGAAAATACGCCGTATTGCAGGAAGTTGCTCTATAGCTTCAGCAGGCGATAAATCCTTCGCCGATTCAGGACATTTTACTTCGATCATCGTCTACGATACCGTCAGGAGTTACACCTACGTAAAGCACAACGGCATCGATGAAGAGGCCACATGGTCGAATATGAATTCCTAATTCGTCTTCTAATTGCTTCAATGCGTTTGCCTCGTTCTCCCTTCCGTATTCGAGGGAACGTAAATTCGGTATTTGCGGATACATTATACTCTTCAAAGTATTTGCCCGCGGTGTATCTTTTCGTAATCTGCATATCTTGCTGAAATTTGATGCGGTTAATAATTTTCTCCTGTAAGCTATCCACTTTTCGCTTTTCGTGTGCCGCATCGTCTGCCACTTATGGAGTATGGCCATGTGCCTTTCATACTCGGAAGAGTATACAGTCTCTTCCATATCTGGTTTTGTTGCACTGGGGCCGTAAATCCTGGTCGTACGATTGTTTCGGATTTCTGAAGGAGGATGATTTCGCTTCTTTTTTATATTTAGATGCCATTTCTGTTGCACGCTTCCGACGTTCTTCCATCTTTCTTACGATGGTTGTCGGCTCTTTATTCATTGCCATACTCAATTTGCTAAAGGTCTCTTTACTGTTAAATTGGACGACAGCAGCAGAGACTCTACCCTGATATGAGCCTCTTCGTCCAAAGTTTATCCTTTTTCCTCCGATGAATTTGGCAATTATATTATTAAAGCTTTCTACAGCATTATTATTTAAAGCGTACAACAAACTTTCAGCTTGAGCGAAGAGTGGCTGCATCGCTTCTTCAATGCTATGATATATACCACCTTGCTTCAATCGTGGAACATAATTCACTCTGTCCGGATCAGAATATTTGGTGCAGAAATATGCTAACTTCTGACACTCCTTGTGTTCACCGAAAACATGACTCGGTACATTTTTCATGTCCTCCTTCAAATTTTTTATTTGATCGACTAGTCTGATTTTTTCTTTGAACCGGTATTCTGCAGCTTTCTTTATTCCAGTACGCAGCCGCAGAGCATTGTCCTTTACGACAGCTCTTAGCTCTTTGTAGCGGCCTTTTGCTACGATGTCATTTATTTTTCTACTGAAATTCCGTAGCAGGTGATTGGTGCATTCTATTTTCCGTATATGCACCATATAATCTTTATATGGATCATTGTCCAATATTTTCTTGTACACGCTGCTATCGCCATCGGCAACTAATATAGAATATACTAGGCCGTGCATTTCTAGGCTGCATTTAAATCCTTCGACGATAGCAGCACTTTCCATACCGGTTGAACTTTGCTGACGACCCCAGTTCTTGAAACAGCGATGTTCGCGCGCTGCTTCTTTCTTTTTTGCTGCTATTTGGCAAATCATACAAAATTTATTTTTAACGTTGATATACAGCACTTTTCTCGTATGATATCCCACGATGGCTCCTACGCCAGAAAGAGAATTGTAGTCTCCTCCGCGGTACGATCTTCTCATCCAGCTGCCATCTGCGACAACTGGAATCCACGGTATATTGTAGCCTGCAAGCACATCGCCTCTTGCAATAGCCAATTCTCTTTCCTCTTTTCCAGCTTCTTCCATTTCTTGTTGTGCGGCCACTTCGAAGCCGTCGATTATGTCATCCTGACATTTCTCGTACATCCTTTTTGTCATGCAAGACATGTTCACGCCAGAGAGTAATTCCTCCAGTTGATTATATCCGCCGCCCGTAACCATTGTTGCAGAAACAGCTGCATGATTAATATCCATAATGCTATCATTCTTTCGAAGACACGGAATGTGGCCTACGTAATTGCACATTCGGCACTATACATTATACGTTTTTTGTAAGCCATATTGTTGACATCCAATTATTTCGAAATGTTCAATGCCACAGCCAATAGGTGAATGATCTGCAAGATTTTTTATTTCTTCGAATATGTATGCAAAATCAGCAAAATCTATTCCTTCCGAAATTGGTTCTTTTGGCTGTTGTGGTTCGGCTTTCTCTACCACCCAATTTATTTCTTCGTCTTCATCGGTGGTATTCAATTCGTGTTCTGTATAGAAATCTCCTTCTTCTACAATTTCTTCGATAGTTTCCATTTCTTCAACATCTTCTATATTTTCTATGTTTTCTTCATATAATCTGTCCGTAAGAAAATCATCCGCAGCAGATGTAGTTGGGATTGTTCTTTCGGAGATACCTGCACTGGTACCTGCTTCCGTTGCGGTACTTTCACTTACCGTGAGACATGCTGCCTTTTTTAACTCTTGCCTGCAAGAAAAGTGTTAGTAATCAGTATAGTGTTGCCTCGAAATAAGCAACTCGCTCGGGGTCGAACAGTTGTTTATTATGGAGCAGGTATGCTATACCGTTTGACTTTGTTCTCGAAACGGGACGATAGAGAACACGAGAAACGAGTGAGAGATCGGAGGTAGCGGCAAGCCATAAAGTGATCGACCGAGCAGCGATGTTATTTCTTGAAAAGAGATCGAATATAACATGTCCTCTCATTTTGGCAGTAATTGTAAGCGCTTCCGAATGAACGTAGAATCACACGAATGAAACACATCAGAATCGCTAATGCCAGAATGAGGAAGGATTACATGTGTTGTACATAATAATTATACCTAAATTCAGATTCTTGTTATAAATTTTAATTACGATTTGATTTTACAAGAATTGCTACTGTCGGAACTGTTTGGTTTGCCATTCGCTCTAAATCTGATCGCTCTGTCTTTTATAATTGCCGGTTGCTACACACGCTTCTCTCTCATTCTCACACTCATTCTCTCTCGCTCTTTCCTCATCCAGCCTATCATTCGCTCTGTTTGAAATACATGCGATCACTCATTCAATGTTTCACATTCGCGCACGTTATCTCTCTCTCTCTCTCGGGCTGAAGTCTCGGTCGAGAACGATACAGTAAAACCAGAATATATACAACAGAAATTCGGACCCAAGCATTTCGTTGATAGAATCGAGGTGTCGAATTGCGGGTTACGCGCGACGCTAGCCAAGCGTGAACGTAGAAAGGGACAGACAGTAGAGGAGAGAGAGAGGTCCAAGAATTCAAAGCGAGGAGCCGAAACGTATCGGTGTGACTAATACTAATTCAATTATAAAACTTTTTTATTTTTGACTTTTTTTAAATAAAATTTGTACTAGCGCATTGGTGAGATCGAATCAAAACATTGCGCATATCCAAGCCAGGTGTCGATTCTGCGTCCGCACACATCCCCAGATAGCAAATTGCATGCAGATTGGCAGCAGATTGGCAGCAGACTCTGGTAGAATCTGTCTACAAATCCATAGCCATCTGTTTCCGCATTTGGCTGCGTTTCTGCAAACAGAACCTGCCTACAGAATCATATAGCAGATTGGCGTCAGAAACCGAGCAGATCCTGGTAACATAACCTGTTGCCAAATTGGCGACAGAAACAAAACAGAGTCTGCGCGCAGACTGTAATGTCAGATTTGCGGCAGATTGGCAGCAGAGCCTGCAACTTCAGCCATTTAAATTTTAAATGGACGCGCATATACTGGCATTTAAATGAGCTCTTTAAATTCTTATTATTACTTATTTTTTAAGAGAAAAAAAGAAATCTTACAATATTTTTATTTTATTATTAATATACATATGTGCTAGTTATTATGAATGTGGTATAAGTCAAAATTTATCAGTTATATTGAACGGCATAATACATAAGAACTGACAAGTTCAATGTTTTTTACATTTCTATTTACACCACTTTCATAATAACCGACATATATATATGTATTTATTAATTTAAAATACATATTTATAATTTCGGTGTTCATTTTTATATTAACAATTGCTGTGAAGTATACTGTCACTCAAAAATTTGAAATCAGGATTGTAAGTACTGCAAACAAAGAGAAGAAACGTGAAATTATATTACTTGTAATCGAATTGCAAAATTGTGACTGCTAGTATTTTATTTATTTCTTCTTTGTTGTGGTGATTCCTCTTCTCCACTGTATTTGGGCTGAAGCGAGCGTGCTCGTGTATGAACCGTGTATGCAGTTGCTTTTTCTTGAAACGTCTCCGTTACCGTACACGAAAAAAGAAAGTACAATTCATTAGTATTAATCCAACATACGTTAGTAAATTCATCTGTCGAACTTCTCAAAAACTCTCGCCGTTTGGTCCAATTTCAAATGAGGTGTTTCCAAACTTTTTGACGAGGGTCGGTTAGGTTCAGGTTAGGTTAGGGTTAGATTAGGATGAAATATTCTAATAGCGGTGTGAAGGAAAAGGAAATGAGTATATAAATTCTCATTGAGGAGCCCATATGCCACAACCGGACCTGTATACAACAGAAATTGCCTAAACTCTGTTGCTTTATACTTGGCATAATGTACCAGAGATCTTGGGCGCCTTCCAAACTCAGAGGGACAAAATTCTCTGAGTCTGTCCAGTCTTGCAGACATACCAGCAAGATGGCTACCTGACAATTTGGATAAGCGTGAAAATTTTCCACTTATCCATGCAGATAAGATTTTTTTCGTGACGCCCAAGCATACCAAATGCATATATTCAAATGGAACTTGAGAAACCATTCCAAAAGGTAGTGATGCTAAGGGACTGCAACCTTCTTTATGATGGTCCTTATCTACACATTGAGAGTATTGGTTGTCAGTTCTAAGCACATGCTTTATGCCATTGAAGACATATCTACCTTCGCTGTGCGTACCAGACACTTTGCATTTGGAACAGGGCCGGCTGGATGTGTGGCCACGGTGGTTGAGGATAAAAGCTCTTGCTGGTGCATCAGCAATAAAGCATCTTAATTTTATTGGTACCTTAGTACCATCAAGATCTACACCACCGTTGGAAAGCATATGGGTTATGTTCATGATGAACATATTGAAAAGCCTATTAGGATCACTAGGCTTTTGCATTCCTCTATAAATGCCGACAACTATTGGCCTTGCATCAGGTATGTTCCTAATCATACACTGAATCGGCCACAGATGGATTGTTCCCGCTCTATCTAAAGCACATCCATCTGTGCTGAAATCTAATTCTAATTCCCTATCTGGTGAAAAAGAAGCATTCCTAATATACTTCACAATTTCAGCTTCGACATCAAAATGAATATACTCCCCCGGTTCTACAACATATGTAGGAACACGAGTCCGTGGAGTATCCAGGACAGTCCTAATATCCTTCGGGAGGTTGGTAAAGCAGGTATGGGTCCGAAGAAGGGTAAGTAAATTCTTACCCTGAATATGATTGATATTGTTAGCAACACAATAGGAAGCCAAACTTTCCTGAAATGAAGTTTCAGGAACCGCTTCAGAACTACAGAATACTGAAGAAGACAAAGAAGAAGAAGAAGAAGAAGAAGAGGAACGAGAACTGTCATCCACATCTACACCATGGATGGCATCAATACCACCTGCGTAATCTGTGGAGGATGAAGGAACATCCGCCAGATTAACAGGGGCATTGATCTCTTCAATAGAAGAAGAAGGAGAAGCCAATGAAGGGACAACACTATTGGACCCTACCTCATTCCTGATGTTGCGTCTCTGTCTGGTCGATGATATTTTAAATATCGGTTTCCTCGATACTGATAACTTAAAATTAAAGGAACTCATAATTAAAATTACTAATGAAATGAAATGTATGTTAGGAATATAAATGTAAATATATGTATATGAAAAAATAAATGTAAGTAAAAATAATTTGTGGTTAATCTATGAAAAAAATGAATATAATTTAAAAATAGAAAAAAATGGTTAGTAGATAATAGAAAAATGGTGGTTAGTATTTATAATAGTAAATAAAATATATGAATAATTTCTATTTATTAATATGCGATTAGAATAAGACGCCTGTTGCACTGCACTCTCGTTCGTTCAGTGACACAAAGCGAATGAAACAAAACGGTTGAACGCAGTCTCTGGTATGTATCAGTTATTGCGGGAAACGCGATCATTGGATGCGCATTTTCGTCACGTTGATTTCTCCAACCAATGTAAATACCTCCCGCTCAAATTGATGGATCGTCTTTTGTTTTATAACGGAACGACCGCAGAGTGGCGCAGAGATGATCATTCTCTGTTCTCAGGCTCGTCCGAGACGGTGTCTGTACACTGACTGCGAAATTCGGAAACATTTTTACTGCGATTTTTTTTCAAATTTCTTTACAGGGACTACAGGAGAGAAGTGCAATTGCCAAGGATGAATTCAAATGTAAGTATGACTTTCATTCATTGCAATTACATGTATCGCGGATATGAATGTATACATATTTTAAATTTTCTTCAAATATTCTTTTATTACAGATGGAAATGGAACATCGTCCGAAGAGGATGGCCAACAAGCCGGCCCGGTATCAAACCACGTCCTCCGACGAAGAACCGCGAAAGCGTTTAAAGGTGGCCCCCGGAAGTATCGTGGAGGACATAACAGACCTCAGGCCTACCTTGGAGGGCGTGGACGATGAAGTTCCATCTAATAATTATAGACAACACGAACACACGAACACATACACATCACTAGACACATATTCGCCATACACAAGCACATACACACCATCAAACATAAACATATACTCGCCACACACACCACCAAACACATACAGGCCACCTCCAACAGTATATGCACCACCAACGCAAACTTTTCATATTCTAGCTGCAGTGGAGAGCAGGCCTGAACCACGGATGCAGCAAGGTACGGAACCTACAAATGTACAAATAAGGTAAGTTGCATGTTCATTCTTCTTCTATACAATATTGGGAATAAGAATATATTCCTCAATTTCTTACATGTTTAAGAAGATTTTCTTACAAATATTAATGTTTACAGGGATCTATATACAAAAATTGGCAACCTGGAGTCCATGCTGACGTAAGTATTGATTGCATGTAATTAAAGTATATATAATTATCATTTATCTTTATAGGAAAACCCATTCATTATTGGAGAAGGTGGCGAAGCAGCAGCAGCAATTGCTGCACCAGCGTCATGGAATTCCGTCAAAACCAGCGTTTCTACCAATTTTATCGTTGGCTGGAATGACGGAATTCCAAAATACTGATGAAGACAGCTACAGGGAAGTTGTAAGTGAAACAGAAGTTTCATTTTATTTATCTGTATGTATCAAATGTTTGTGTCAGTTGTTACTTACTTTGTTTAGGTAAACTATTTGGAGTACGTGGGCGGCTTCAACCTGAAGGAAGCAGTCACTCTCTCTTTTAAAGAAACAATGAGTGACTGCTTGCTAACATCTTATTCCTGGTTGGGCCGTGAAGATAACAATCTCGCACTTTGCGAGACAAAAATTGTTCATGCTATACACGGTAAGAATCACTGTTTATATAATTGTGATACTATTACTTCATATGGTATTCAGTATTCATATTATATGCTTACATTTGATTTTTAGATGCCGTGCTCCAGAATAGGTACTTCCCAAGGCCGTCCCGCAAGGATGTAGCGGAACATTTAAAAGCGGCGCTTCGTACTGCTAAGGAAAGAGTGCGAAGCAAAAGAAGAGGCCCCCGAAATCCTCAGCATGAAACAGTGGATAACTTTTGGACTGCTGAGGAACAACCACGTTGAAACAGGAAGAGGTTAGTTTTGTATTGGATTACATATATAATCATAACCTTCAAACACATGTACTTACGTATTTATGTACTTGCAAGTACCTTCATGCCTTTTTTCATTTACTGCCATAAACTCACTTGTTGGATAAATAACTGTAATACAAACACATCTTTTTCAATCTTTCTCTTCTCTTTCGCTTTCTCATAGCGAGCAATCCATCTATGGCCGATTCAGTGTATGATTAGGAACATACCTCATGCAAGGCCAATAGTTGTACGTATTTATATGGGATGGCAGAGACCATGTCAACTGTAAACCAGTGATGCCAGAACCGTGGGACGTGGGACAAATCTTTACCCTCTCCACGACGTCCCACGACGTCCCAGTGACTCCCCTACCGCAGTTGTTTCATCTAACACAAGCGCGTTGTCCCACGTGTCCGTGTGAGCTCTCTGCGGGTTTGGCAGAGTTCGGCTGCTCTCGTCATTTCTACGTTATCGGCTCGATGCTCAAGCCGCTAAAGCACGTGGCAGCAGCATCGACGAATCGACAAAATAATATAATTTCGTACATGGCAATATGGCTGAATTAAGAAACCAGGAGAATCAGTTCGAATCCCGATTTTACGGTTTCAGTTCTGATTCTTAATACATTAACGTTTTTCTAATACATAAAAATACATTTTTGATACATTAATACTATGAAATACATTAACTTGGAAAGCAGTTTAAAAAAGGAGTTGAACTGCATCTTTCTTTGATATTTTTTTTAATATTTAAGTTTTATATATATACATATGTATGTACGTCCATATGATAAAAGTACGTGATACAGAAGTAATTTCTTCAATTAGATATTACTGTTATTCTAACTATTACAATACATAAATTCGAAGACATACGAGGAAAATTGGTTAGGTTAAATTGTAAGGATATAAAGAAATTTCAATCTTTAACGGTTTGTCAGTTTTATTTCTTATTCCTTACAACTATTATAATTTTATTCTGTGAATGGTCATTACAATGAAAGATGGATTAGATACAATTTGATTCCTCATTTAATTTGTTATATACGTATCAGGTTTCTTGCAACTATTGTACCTGGTCCACGCTTACACGATATTGCATATTTTACTTTCCTATAATACAACAAGGAAACAAAACTATAATATAGTGATTACCATAATACAATAGAAAATGTTAAGCTTGGTATAAACCTTGTTTTTTTTGTGTACTTAATCTGCAGTTACGCTTCGTTGCTTTATAATGACAGATTTTTCTTTTAAATGAAACTTCCACTAGCGTATTGATGAAATTTTTCGATTAAAACAAGATGAAACACGACATAATTTGAATTATAGTTACTTTATATATTTGCATTAGGTTTTAAATAAATAAGTAAATATAATGCAAATTATGTCCTGTTTGGTCTTATTTTAATCAGAAGAACCTTCCAATTACATTGGTAAAAGTTTCATTTAGCAAAAATGAAAAATAAAAAAGTTATGGTTAAATTAATATTGTCTCACTCAAATGTTTTTTCTCGGGCCCTTTAATTCTCGGACCTCCTTCTCTTTCGCTATTTGTCTTTTTCTACGTTCGCCAGCATTCAAGAACTCGCTCGAGCTGTGTCGTTCTGCCAGCCTCGCACACTTTTAGGAGAATCGGGAAAATCCAGCATAATAACAAGTTCTATGCTGAAAGAATATACTAACTTATCTGTTTAATAAAATTTTAATAAATCTGGCAATAGATTTATTTTCTGACTGTTTTTCTTAAGTAATCAGAATTTCACCATTCTCCTGTACAGATCGTGTGTAGCAGTTTGTAGCAAACTCAACATATTTTCGATATTATGTAGAATACACAACCGATCGACAAATATTAAAAATCCAGGATATTTTGTGCCGCTTTTTGTATGTCAAGGGCCATCGAAATGAAATAAATGACCAACACTGAATAGTATAATATATGTGATCGCTGTTCATCTATTTCCTTTCTACGATGTACAGGATTGCCTCGAAATAAGCAAGTGGCTCGAGACCTAACAGTTGCTTATTTCGAAGCAGAGACCACTTGCTTATTTCGAGGCAATCCTGTATTTCTTCCGCAAGAGACGGTTTCCTAACAATTTACAGTACAGTAAAATCTGGATATACATATGCAAGAGAGATGGGATCCAAGCGAGGTGTCGAATCTCGGGTTACGCGCGACGCCAGCCAAGCGTGAACGTAGAAAGCGACAGGCAGTGGAGGAGAGAGAGAGGTCAAATGATCAAACGAAAGAGCCGAAACATATCGGTGTGACTAATACTAATTCAGTTATAAAACATTTTTATTTTTGACTTTTTTTAAATGAATTTTTTACTGGCGTATTGGCCAGATTTATCTGATTAAAATGATACCAAACACGCTATAGTTTGAATTGTAATTACTTGCTAAAATTGATGTTAAAAGTAGACGAAAAGTCAGAGAGATCGAATCAAAACATTGCATATGCATATCCGAGCGAGGTGTCGAAGTTTGATCGGACGTCTTGCATTATATGTACCCAGATTTTACTGTACTGTAAATTGTTAGGAAACCGTCTCTTGTGGAAGAAATACATCGTAGAAAGGAAATAGATGAACAGCGATCACCTTTATTATAATATTCATTGTTGATCATTTATTTCATTTCGATGGCCCTTGACATATAAAAAACGGCACAAAATATCCTGGATTTTTAATATTTGTCGATCGGTTGTGTATTCTACATAATATCGAAAATATGTTGAGTTTGCTACAAACTGCTACACACGATCTGTACAGGAGACTGGTAAAATGCTGATTACTTAAGAAAAGCAGCCCGAAAATAAATCTGTTGTCAGATTTATTAAAATTTTTTTAGACAGATAACTTATTGTTAGTATATTCTTTCAGCATAGAATGTGTTATTATGCTGGATTTTCCCGATTCTCCTAAAAGTGTGCGAGGCTGGCAGAACGACACAGCTCGAGCGAGTTCTTGAATGCTGGCGAGCGTAGAAAAGGACAAATAGCGAAAGAGAAAGAGGTCCGAGAATTAAAGGGCACGAAAAGAAACATTTGAGTGAGACAATATTAATTTAACCATAACTTTTTTATTTTTCATTTTTGCTAAATGAAACTTTTACCAATGTAATTGTAAGGTTCTTCTGATTAAAATGAGACCAAACACGATATAATTTGCATTATATTTACTTATTTATTTAAAACCTAATGCAAATATATAAAGTAACTATAATTCAAATTATGTCGTGTTTGATCTTGTTTTAATCGAAAAATTTCATCAATACGCTAGTGGAAGTTTCATTCAAAAGAAAAATCAGTCATTAGTCATAAAGCAACGAAGCAGCATAAGTACACAAGAAAACATGTATTTTTATGTATTAAAAAAACGTTAATGCATTAAGAATCAGAACTGAAACCGTAAAATAGGGATTCGAACTGATTCTCCTGGTTTCTTAATTCAGCCATATTGTCATGGACGAAATTATATTATTTTGTCGATTCGTCGATGCTGCTGCCACGTGCTTTAGCGGTTTGAACATCGAGCCGATAACGTAGAAATGACGAAAGCAGCCGAACTCTGTCAAACCCGCAGAGCTCACACGGACACGTGGGACAACGCGCTTGTGTTAGATGAAACAACTGCGGTAGGGGAATCACTGGGACGTCGTGGGACGTCGTGGAGAGGGTAAAAATTTGTCCCACGTCCCACGGTTCTGGCATCACTGCTGTAAACTGCTCGAAACCGTGTTCCAAATCTTCTTTCTTTCTCTACGGCACACGGCACCTCTAGCAGTGCCCTCTAGCAAGAATATACATATGTACAATATCAATCATAGTGTCACAGCCGACTCTAGTACTAGCCGTGCTGAAGTAAAAATGGCAACACCGCGGGAGTCCGGTCTGAATATATCAACACCTACCCTACTCTATCTGCCTCCCGGACTCCCGGACTCTCAGCCAATCAACGTCGTCAGACTCCGGACTACTTTCTGGACTTCACATAACCTCTTTGGTTTCGTTCCAATAATTTCGCTTGTTTCAAGGTTTTTATTAATTTATATACACGTTTATCAATTCTTAAATGTTTCAATTTGATCCAAAGATGGTTTCATTTTGCTTCATACCTAAATTTTCTTGAAACCACTGTAAATATTTCAAATATCATGCTTCACAACACCAAACTACTTTGAGAGTACACAAAATATATATCACATTTATAACAATTTTATACTACCACATCACTTCTATTTGCCATAGTTGCAACGTTTATATATTGTTTATACATAATTAACACAAAATAGTGTATATTACTACAGCTTTTAATTAAAAAAGACGTTAATTACAATTCCGAGCACAGGACTCTGTTTTTGAAAATAGGACTCCCGATTGTCACGTGAGCGGTGTTGCCACGTTGTTCAGCATGGCTAGTACTAGAGTCGGCTGTGATAGTGTCCGTTCGTCTAGTGTATTTTGTAATTTCAAATAAATTCTTGAAATTCTAAATTATTGAATATTCGAAAGCTTTTATCAGATGATTATGTTAATTACTTTAACGCTTTTATTAAATAATTAGATTTATGATATTTGCTGCGGTTAAACTTGGACTCCAAAGTCAGTGCTTTTTCACTAGACGAACGGACACTATGATTGATATTGTACATAAACATTTATACATATGCATAACATTTATAATTTGCAGCAGGCTGGGGTCAAGCCGTGAAGAGGAACTGAAGAAGAACTGAAGAGGATCTGAAGAGAAACTGAAGAGGACCTGAAGATATAATTATTTTATATTACTTGATACTATTTTATATTATTTTATTTTATTTTATATTATTTATATTATTTTATAATTATGTTATTTTTCTGAATTTATATATTATTTATATCAACATTTATATGTTGATTTGTTATGTATATTGTTGACATTGTAAATGTACATTTGTTGTTGTGAATACTGATAAGGTTTTGGCAGTTTTCCTTATCCTAGCAACAAATGTTGGTATTCGTGAAATTATTCTGCCAAATAAAATATTTTATTTTTTATTATATATTTTGTTTACAGTTCTTTTAGTATCCGTCCCTTTCCTATGATCATGACAATTTTTCACAAGATTATATATAAATATACATATACTGTATACATGACAAATGTTTAATGGTGTTACGTTTCCCGTAGCGGTTTTAGGGAGATTCTGGGGAAAAGGTTCCAAGAGCGTGAGTTGGCTGCCCGTGGAGTGTAAAAACACTCTGCTTGGTGCGCGCCAAAGTTAAGACTTCTTAATTTCGAATAGTAGGTTTTAATAAAACGTCAAGATTGAACGGAGTCAAGAGTTGTTCTAATCTGTATTTCAAAAACGCGTTACAAGGTAAGTTTCGCGGAGACGTAGCGTGGGGGTTGTTTTACATGATTGGTGGAGGGCGGTAACAAGAGTGGTTGTTTTGGTTGGCCGAATTTGTAGCGGGGAGTTCGAGGTGGCCGCCCGCTTGTGACGTAGCGATTTTTGGGGAAAAACCCCGAGGTTTTTCCAAAGGTCTTCTACTTTCGGCTGGTCGGCGTCGATGTTTCCCGTTCGGGACCGTTAGCCGCGGCAAAGCAATAAAGTTGACGGCAACAACCGTACCTTAGGGCGACGGTGAATAAAGCAATCTATTATCGGTAATAAACACGGGGACAACTGCGATTTGAAAGGAAGTTCGTGAATTTAAATTATCGCTTGTCGCGGATGGCCTGGGGTTCGAAAAACGGAGGTCATAAACGTTTACGGTGGTGAAGTTCCTTTGAAATTAACATAGTTTAGGGTTGTTTTATTAGAGTCTAACGGGATAAGGTTTACGCGATGTGTGTTCGCGTAACATTAACATATTCGAATCGCGAGCCGTGGATAATTCGGGGCTATTTCGCGAGGTGGCGTGTCGATGAAATTTCGCGATAGCGTTACAATGGTATCTTTCATTTCTTTTATTGAATAAAGTAAACGCATTATCAATTAATTGCAATTTATTAATTATCAATAATTTCTTTTATAATTTATAATTTTCTTTTTATTTCGCTCGTAGTATTACAATTCATGTTATTGAAAAAAAATATACTGCGCTCCTATCAAATTTGTATAGTTCTTATTCCGGAACACTCGAAGTTCGGAAAAAGATTTTAAATACCACTTATATGTATAGTCACTGTTCCGTTTAAAATTTAAATGGCTGAAGTTGCAGGCTCTGCTGCCAATCTGCCGCAAATCTGCCATCACAGTCTGCGCGCAGACTCTGTTCTGTTTCTGCCTCCAATTTGGCAACAGGTTATGGTACCAGAATCTGTTCGGTTTCTTACGCCAATCTGCTTTAGCAGGGTCTGTTACATTTATGCCGCCAATCTGCTGCAATAACTGTATTTAACAGATCCTGCATCAAATCTGTAGCCATTCTGCTTACAAAACCTTGTAACAGGAATCCGACAGAATCTGCTATGCGCAGGTTTGGCTATCAGGGTCGTTTATATGCAGCCGAGGTGTTCTTTATTCTATTATTATTGCTTATTTATTTTATTATTATTCTATTATTATTGCTTATTTATTTTATTATTATTCTATTATTATTGCTTATTTATTTTATTATTATTCTATTAGTATTGTTAGCTTGTAGATTACTTTAATTGAGGGGCTGCAGGGTGGTATTTCATTTTATGGCAAGTTGTAAACTAATGAAGAAACGAAGGGGTCCGATAAACACGTGTTCGCCTTTCGCGAAGTAAACCCTGCTTGACCGCGCCGGTGACAGAAAGCAGACCCACTCAATTGTCAGAAATATTTTCTAAGCAGTTTTTACAACTATTCACAATTGACTAGTCAGTTTTGTACACGTTTAGGAGGTCATGGGAAAGTTTTTGACAATATTATGATGACACTATAGTATTTTGTTATCGAAACAATATTTGTATGTTTACATAAAAAAATATGATACATTACAGAAAAAATATAATTACTTATCTTACGTCCGGATATATATTTCTGGTACTCAAGAATGCATGAAAGATTTGACGATCGATATTCCTACGAAATGAGATCGAACGTTCCACGAGGACGCCGACGTTCTTTTTTTACCATTCAATGCGATCAAGATCTCGGTGACATTTGTTTATTTTAGATGAACCGTTTGTAGTAATTGGAAAATATTCAAATTGTAAATAGGATTGTAGGATATATATAGCTATATAATTCGTTATATTAAACAATTTCCACTTGTTATAATAATTCATAAGTAATAAAAGATTAAAAAGGGGACAGTATTTACACCTATTTAGTAAATTTTATCACATCGTCACTCGGTTCGAAATCTAATTTGTACGATGTAGGTATATTCAGCGAACAGTATTCTTCGATACTCGCGGTTACTTCGTCGCTGTCTATGGGTCATAAAAGAGAAGGATACAACGAGGGTCGTAGCAGCCGAGAAATAAAGCTAGGGCGTACGAATATCTCGAACTGCAGGGTACTTGAGATATAGAAACATTGCCAGGGCTGAACAAAGGTTGCTAGTGAGGCCTGGAGAATGTTTCGAAGACTAAAGTTTTCAATGAAAGACTTTTGCTAAAGGGACACATGGATGTCCCTTACATATTGCAGACAAAAATCCACAAAAGAAGAAGCAATGTGTTTCGTATTCAACAAGTAACAACGCTAAACATTGAATCGCAAAGCATCGATGACTGTTACTAATTTTAAACATTATCTTCATATAACAAAATTATATACAGTTACTCAAAGTGGAAATCGTCCACCTGCGACGGATTGTTATTACATTATATGTCTATCATTTTATTTGGTAGAGTCTACAGAGTTATTGCATGGAAAAAGGACCTGAATATGTGCTATTATAAAAGGATTCAGCATACAAAAATGTATAACAATCAGTTATTAAAAGTTACCAAATCAAATGACTATTGCAATTTATCAAACGTAGTTGTAGGTGGACGATTTTCACTGTGACTGATTGTACATATAACATAAAACAATATCGTGCTATTACTACATCACAAAATGTAACATTATACAAATCTATACCATAAAACGTAACTTACCTTTCTCGATGTTTCTTATTTCTGGACAAACGCCTTGTAAATACATTCAGCTTGTCCTTTCTTGTGGTACTCTTCAAATAGCGCTTATTTCGTTTATCTGTGCCCTTGTTTTGTTCTTCCATGGTAATGGTCACACACACTAATTGTCACTGCACTTTTGAATTACGCAGAAATGAAATAATTAGATATATCAATACCTGCGCAGTTCGATTTCTTTCTGCGTCTGCAGCGTAGTGCAAACTGATCAGACAACGCTGTTCACAGATCAGAGATGCTGAGACGCAGAACGAAAGATAAACAGAACGGAACAGGATGGATGTATGCGTCCTGTTCCTCTCTTTCTCATTAGGAGTAGTGTATACTGATACATTTCCATAGATACATTTACATTTAGAGTATGTACTTTCGGGGATACTTTTTAATGCAAAAATGTGCAGAGGAAAGAATTTTTTATTATCCTGTGCGTATACTTTTGACGTATCAACCAGTTTATTAGGGAAGAATTCATATATCGTTCTACAGTTATCCTTTTCCACTTGCTAACGGCGAAGGAACACCCCGCAAGTATGCGCGGGTACGCCACACGTTTTCAAACCTTTGCGCATTCGAATTTTCACGCGGGCCGCTGACGTATCCCTCTGTCCTTGGTGCAAGTGAAATACAAAATATCGAGTAAGTGAGAAATGCCTCGGTTTTCCTATGATTCCACGGTGGCAATCATCCTGAGTAGGCGCCATCTCCTAACCACTAGCTGAACTAAATTTGTCACGTGACGTGCTCTGTAGTATCCAGATAATGGCGGAACTCGTCTTTGGGAATGCTTTTACGGGAATCGGTTATTCGTCCTTATATGAGAAGATCGTGAGCTGGGTGAGGGCTCATTCGAAAGAGGAAGGTTCAATGCAGGGCGGTCAACTCACTGTTTGAGTCACAAAACTCTTTTAGTGGCCTAAAAATGCTTCGATTTCGCAACTGCATTTTGTCGATTTTTTCTTCTACTTTCGACACTGATATTATTAAATATGCACATAATCTCGTTAAACCATGAGTTGACCGCCCTGCATTGGACCTTCCTCTTTCGAATGAGCCCTTACCCAGCCCTATGTGTTCTCATATAAGGACAAATAACCGATTCCCCCGTTTTTGCCGGTAATGTCACCTCGCTGCATTACCCGTATCTACCCCCTTGATGACGGCTTCATCTATTAAAAACTATATATTTTAATCTTAAATCTCATTTTACATTTCAACCAAATCAATAGCTGCATTTAATAATTATACATTTAAAGAGAAATACAGCGTAGTTTCTGAAAACCGTTGAAACTATCATGGCGACGAAGTAGAAAAGAAAAGGAACACCAAAGAAAGGGGATGAAAGATCTTCGTCTAGCTCGCGCGTCTTAACCAATCACCGGGCACGCGACACTACCGAAAACGAACTACGATTCGTCAAACCATCCCCTCCAAGGACGATGATCGCGCGACGGGCCCTTCGACCGTCGATCTCGCACAAAATTCCTCACTCTTGATCGATCAATCGTAAGTACGTGATCGGGAGCCCGTGTGTCCGAGAGACAGAGTTGTTCGGAATTTCGCGATACTTTTCCTCTGCGGTAAAGACCTCCGCCTAGCGAGGTAGAGTGCCGTGGTAGTTGAAACATCCGATTCTTAACAAGGACTCATAGACGCGCACGTAAAATCTTCCTTCTCCCTAAATTTCTATCTTTTCTTTCTGTTTTTAAATCGTTTGCTCGCGTAATTTTTCCGTATTAACTTCACTTCGCGTAATTATATACTGATTATTTTTCGTAATTCGTTTGTCTCTCGTCGAATAATTCGTTCCGCCGCGATAAGTGCAGTGATCGAAAATCTTATCGTTCTTTGGTGTTCCAGATCATCAAGCGAACACAGAGCAAATTAACAAGCGAATTTAAAATCTTGTATTTTATTAAACAGCGTATCGGTAAGTCGATC